TTCTCTGAACTCTTTTTCAATAAAACACGACTTCCTTCCCTTATCTCTTGCTCTTGTTATTAACCAAGCACCGAGCTCAGAATCATAAACAGTTTTCAGAGAAAAGATCTGGAGAAGCCCCAAATCCCTGATGTATGTAGAATTCATGTCCTCGGTTCTGGTGTTTCAGTACTTGACAGATGTTTTGAGTTGAGAAGATTCTATGACCCATGAATTTGTGAAAACGAGGCGGGATCTTGTTTCCTGAAGAAGTCGCATTTCAAAGATAGGTTAATTTTAGTCCCTTATTGTATCTTTGTCATCTGTCAACCCATCTAATAAAAACTCAATAAAATATGGGACTAGTGGATTTACATCAGTGTACTTTGGTCCACGTAACAGTCCTCACCTGACACACCTCAGATGGTTTCTCAGAAGGTGGTAGCTGGAAGAGAGAAAAGCATATCATTTGTGGAATTCCTGGAACTTTCTTTTAAAAAAACAGAGGTGGGACTTACGGTATCTCTGACCTCTGTCTCTCTTGGTTTAAGAATCATTTAACAAGGTCACATCAGCGTCCATATCTATAATTGTCCTTTTGGCAACGCTGTGTGATCTGTGTTAAATATTGATTATAATATTTTTTTTTTCTTAGAAATGTTTCATGGCTTTGCAAAAACAATCTTGACATATAGTCTCTCCTGGTTCTTCCCACTAATACTCTTCATATTGATGCTATGCCCCAACAACCAGGGCAATGAGTCCAAGACAACCCGTTCATCTGGGATCCATTAACCCAGTCAGGAAGGCTCAACTGAGCGCCTGTTTTTGACTACACTTAACATAATGATAGGTTTTTAGCCAGTAATGCCTTTGTTCTGGATGGGTCTGTTTGTTTTCTTCCTCTGATCAGATACGAGTTTCAAGGGGGTGCAGCTGAGAAGGCTGATTCCTGCCCCCTTGTTTTTAGGTCTTTTTCAGTTACCACTTTTACTTGATTAAAACGTAGGGTTGGTGGTCATGAATGTGGCTGACAATGCCATGCAGAATGACATCTTGAGTAGAACAGGAGTTGACATTTGATGTTAGAAACCGAAAATTACTCGCTGAATGTTTTCCTTGTTGGGTTTCTTTACCCACTGTTTGTACTCATTCATTTCCTTCTGTTATTTTGGACCAGGTGAGTTCATTGGGGCTACATTCTACCAAGTAGGGTATGGTATTTGGAAATGGGTTTAAGTTGCAAGCACATTTGTAAGACCAGGAGTTAATCAAAGAACCTTTTTGATACTCTTTGTTATGGCAGGACCCGAATATGCGACTATTCTGATATTTGTTTGTAGAAGAGGTTTTCAGTTTTAGTATTTGGATATTCAGGAACCTCCCACTCTAGCGCCGCTCTGCACAACAGTGCAAGTGACACCTACAATCTTATTAGCAAAGCTCAGTGTGGAAATTGTAGCAGCTTCAGCTGATCATCGTTGTTTCAGGTTAAAATGACAACCAGCGGGTCATACCAGCTGTCGCTAACCAACGTCAGCTCTGTGACTTAAATTGATAACCGGACAAAATGAAAGTTGCCCAGAAATTGCTGCTGGAGGACAGCCCTATCTTTTGTTTCAAAGCTTTTTGATACTGCTCATCGTCTCAGTGCTTGCACTTTGTTCAGTGTCAGACAAACACATATGCATAGCTGTGAGATTGTGTGGCTAAACCAAACCAAAGTTGGTAATGATGCATCAGAATGTAATCACTGCATTGCAATGCATTTGATGTCTTCAGTTGTATTCGTATTGCCCCTAGATTTGGCTAAAAGTAAGGTTTTCAATTTGAGAAAACTGAACATCCTTAAAATCAAGGTTTTTGCCGCACAGCACAGATCCTTTCATAAGCCCGTGTTAGGCAGTTTCAGCCACTCCACACTGAAGGAGCAGTCTACTGGGGTGAAGAGAGGTTTTTTTCATCACCTCTGCAGCGCTGTACTTCACACGAGTGAGTCAAACAGCCCACAGGTCCCTTAGCCGGCTTTGGCATGAATATAAACGGCTTTCATTTGTAAACTGTCATAAAAATGTTGGAGGGACCTTTCTTGCTTCTGATATGCAGAAATCAGCAAAAGCATACACAGCAAAAGTCGGGCAGAAATGGTCCAAATATGTAGGTATTTTGGGGCACAGGCACTTGGAAGTCAGTGCTATAGCCATCAGGAAGCACTCTGATGGCAACCATATGAAAGGCAGAGGGTCATTTGTCTGGCTGGGGCATAAACACACTATTCCAGTTTTCAGTTTCCAGCTTTCACTTCCTAGATTTTTCACATTCAGAATATGTATGCACCAGTGAAATTGATTTTCTTGTAAGGTTAACACAAGAAACCACTTCCTATCTATCTAAGGCCTTGGTTATCTTCAAACGAACACTGCTTTGCAAAATGTTGTCTGACCATCTTGGGAACATTGGAAAATGATTAATGAAAAGGTGAATCTGGTACAGTCTCTCCTTCCAGACATTCATGCTGTTACGCTCAGTTGTACAAGCAAAATTAACAGAAATGGATGTGTGAAGGATGGGGTTTAAAAGAGCTTTAGAGTGAAGTTTAAACCCTGCATACTTTGCACAACAACTGGCCAGGTGTGTTGAAGTCAAAGTGGGCGGGTTTGTCAGTTTCAAATTGTTGGATGCTATAGGCCTGAATTTTCTGAATCGCTGGGGGGAGGGGGCCAGACACCATTAGACAAACCAGTAAGCACCTTTTTCCATACTGAGGCCTTAAATAGAAAGAGCTGCACAGCAGTATTGTTTCTAGGCTTGTGCAAGTTGTATGTGTATTTCACACAATTTTGAAATAACTCTGAGAAGCGGTGTTCAGTGGAAATGAGTTATGTTTGGGTGAAGCCTGATCCATTTAATGAAGTCTGTGCTGATGACTAGTCCTGATACCGGTGACAGAGTGCTGGAGCTAAATTGACCCTGGTGACCTGGTTGGCAAGGCTTTAAAAATACCACACGTTTGTTATGGCCAGGACTCGCATGAGATGTTGTCACTGGCATTTTGAAACGGCAGTAGTTGACTGTTTTACAGCAAGGTTTTGATGAGGCCCTGTCAGACCTATTCAGATAGTAACTGTCCATGATCATCTGTTTTAACTGACACTTTAAATTCAAAATCTTTTTCTGTCAGAGTATTAATCCCAAGAATGTTTGTAGGGCTAAAAATAGCCAAGAAGCCTTCTGTCTGTGTGCATGGCGAGTACATCTCTATCAGTCACAGCTGAACATAATGTGTGTGTGTGTGTGTGTGTGTGTGTGTGTGAGTGTGTGTGTTATCTAAACATTTCCTTCATCAGACCATGAGGGCCACATTCCAAGAAATGTAGGTCTGCCCCAATGTCTGTTTTATCTGAACATACATTGGCATTTACTTAATCTGGGTATCTGATTATTAAAACAGGAACAGCAATGTACCTTTTGCTTTGCTGTGTAAACACCACTCTGTCAGTCTTAGAGTAGAAACGTAAGGGCCATTGTGGTGACATGGAAAGGTTATGCACCTTTTTTCAAGGTCATTCCCATATTGTTCAGTTTATGCTCGTTGTGAACAAATAATTTGTATTTGTCAGTTTCTAATGTCCCGCCCATGGAAGATAACCGTGCTCATAGAGACATGTCATGGATTAACATCATTGTCTGAAAAACCAAATCCTTGTCAATAGAAATGTACTGCATAAGGATTTGGTTGGTTTCTGTTGGTAAATTTTATTTTAGTTTGACATTGTGTGGAGATTCACTGTTGTGCTTTTGCTGTCACACCAACATCATTTTTTGTGTTGTTAGCCACATTCGTAAACACAGTTGCCACTAATGCAGCCTTAATAATGACAATGACCATAATATCAATAACAGCAAAGCCACCAGTGACACCAACCATCTCACTCCTCCCACCTGCAGCAACAACATCAACTGCTGTAAAAAAATATAATTCAAAGCTTCCAACTGAGAATGCACTGCGCGTGCAGCTGAAAATGTGGCTGACCGACTCTAATCTATCTGAAAAACGGCCGATATGTTCTAGTGTGGTTCTGTTCATTATGACCTAATATAGTCAGACACCCTTTTAGGGTGCTCTCACAAGCAGAGGGCTCTTGTGAAGCTCTTGTGAAGGTGTGTATGAAGTGGGACTACAGTATATTCTCATTCCCTGTCTCTCTTCTCTTCCATCCACTTTGCACCACAGGGTTTGGACTTTAAAAGCTGACAGGATTTTATCTGAGAAGTTCAAATACTGTGTGAAAATATTTGGATCGGTTTTACAGGTCTGATAAAATAGTACGTTTTGCCCATCAGCAGTTCTCCTGCTGCTGAAAACAGCCTTGATGACCGTAGCTGACTTGCTGAGGTGGGCTTAAATATCTCGTTGTGTTAGGATGGGTGGACAAGGACATGTCATTAGTGCCCCTGTTCCTGTCCCCCACCCAGTGGCATTATGGGAGGGGAAGCTGGTGTCTGGGTGGTGTACAAAACATGGCCCTTCCTGTCTATTCTGCTGCTGACTTGTCAGCTTTTGTATGTGCATGTTTGTGTGCATTATGTAATTTTGGGTCGACACCTTTTTTCTTTTTTTAAAAATCTTTTTCATGGCATTAATTTGGGATAATGCCTCTTCTTCCACAGTGACTTGTTTGCTGATCTCTGACTTTTAAGCAGGATAGAAATCCTAAAGGCCCAGTGGTCAATTGTGCCATTATCTGGTGGAAGAAAAGTAAACTCTGCGAGTCAGCAACACAGCACTGTGTCTCTCTTTGCTACTGTCTAGTGTCAATGTCCCCATTTCCTCCGATAGCACACTGCATTCACATAGTGACACCATTTCATTGATGCAGGATGCAGAGGATGCACAGCCACCAGCGTGGTTGTTTCACTGTCAAATTAAATATTTGCTTGGGAAATATGACAAACAAATTACCTTCTGGGTGCGTATGTATGTTGATTCTTAGGCTGATGCTATCACTGTTTGTTTGCAGATGTATGGGCGCTACACCCAGGAGCTTGGGGTGTTCGCTAAAGAGGAGGCGGCTCGGCTGAGGGAGAGCGGACAGAGGCGATCAGTCACCGAACGAAGCCGGGCCCTGGACTTGCTGGAGTACGAGAAGGGGCGCTGTGCCAAGTGTCGCAGTAAGTTTCATAGCCCAGGGTCAGGAATGACGAGCATCGGGAACTGTTCAGGTCAGGTTCGGGGTTATTAAAGGTTGAGGATTTTACATTATATTAGTTTGAGGTTTTAATATAAGGGTACAGTTTCTTAGAACATGCAACAGTGCTCAATGTAGAGCAGACACAATTCAGGAGCACGTCATATGTATTAATAATGCACATGATACAGCCGGAACTGGCTTAAAGTACAAACAAAAGGCTGTATTAACAAGATCTCAAGGAATATTAATTTAGAACAAAACAAAATCACACCTTCGGCACTGCAAAACCAACCAGGTTTATTTGTTTCCTTTTTGGCCAAACAGCTTTTAATGTATTTTTTAACATCTCCTAATGTATGATGTGCTACGAGCGGTGATTCACTGAAGCCGTCACCTGTCTTTTTAATGTATCGAACATCATGTTTTGTGGCCATCTGACATCTGATTAATAGTTTGAGACAGTTTCTCTGGAGCACTTCTAATGGACAGAAAAACCCCAGACAGCTCCAATGTGAGACAGTGGGGCTGTGTTATCAACTGAATTTATTCTTCTCTTGAGGGATTTGGGAGGCACGTTGGTGGTTTTGTGAAGTTTTTTGGAAGTTTGATGTCAAGGAGTTGCATAAACATCTTCAGGAAATGTAATACTGAAGGTACTGTGGCTGGTCTGGAATAAACTCACTGCCATACTGCACATAATAAGATAAAACGGGCTGTAAACACAAGTTAGGAATGCTCTTCAGATCCATGTGGAAGATCAGAGAGGGATATTTTGCTGTGCATCGCACACTCGCATGCATGCGTGCACACAGCATCAGTTGTAGATGGTAACTGACATTTCAGAATAAACCAATTCAAATCCTGGTCCACTTGTGTTTAGTTAAAAGTCTGACTCTGTGAGCCAGCCTAGGATATGTTCATCACCTATACTGGCTGCGTCACACTGTTTTCCTTCCCTTCAGGCATTAGTCTTCAGACTAAGGCCTGAAAATGAAAAACATTTTGGGGGTGTGGAGTTGGACAGAATAGATGTCCTGCCAGAAATCTATATGTTGCTCCTCATCTCTGTTTGACCAGCTCACGCGAGTCTTTGACCCAACTCAGCGGTCAGGGTGCGTTGTGGGTAATGTAGGAAGCTGGCTTTGACAATGTGTGGAAAAGAAAAAAGCTGATGTTGCAGGTTCTTCTGCAGTTCAATTCAAATCTTTTTACCTGTCTGACACGAGTCTGACAGTGTTATGACAGTGCAATGCTGAATTAGTGGAGAACCCCTCTAGAGGGAACATGCACGTAAATCGAGACGAAAAATCAGCAAGAAACTGAAGTGAGCGAATAAGAACACAAACATAATCAGCCAATCTGGACAGTTTCAGTGACGTATTCTCATGCAGCTGATACAGCAGTGTGCCATGAGGACATTCATGCATGTGTACATTCAAGCTTTGCAATCTGCCTTAGAAGATATGAACGATGAAATACTGGAATACATTTTTACAAAGAATCCGGACTGTGGGTTTTGTTCTACATCGCTTACACGTATTAGCTTAATATAAATAGGAACAATGATCGCAGCCTTCCTTTTTAAGGTGTGTGTGTGTGTATATGAGCACCTGACTATTGTTTTAAGACATCCTTGGAAAGATTGTGAACCTGTTCTTGAGGAAATAACATGTTGCAACCCAAGCTTTGGAGCAGGGACAAGACCAGAATGTATGGGTTCTGGGAGAGTTTTCTCTTGTATTTCCTAATGAAGAGAAATCAAAGAGACTAAATCAAGTCAGTGTTGCACATAACATTGTCCCTACTGTAGCTGCCTGTTGTGTGTAAACAGAGCGCCCTCTGCTGTTTTCAAATAATTAATGCACCCATAGTTACTCTTTCCTAAATGCTGCAGATCTCAGTGATGAGTTTTGCTGTTGTTTCATGTTCTTCCTCCGCTCTCCCTCTTTATGTGGCTCAAGACACCAAAACACCAGCGATTAAATTGACTTGTTCCCAAGCATGGTCTCATTGTCTAGATTGTACTGAATGAGGAAAAAGGCAAATATAAACACACACAAAGTGAGATAAAGGTGTGAAACAAAAACTGACTGGCTGAAAATTTATGTAAATCACACACACACACACACACACACACACACACACACACACTCACACACACACACACACACACACACACGCTCTCGCAAAATTTATGTAAAACACACACACACACACACACACACACACACACACACACACACACACACACACACACACACACACATTCTTCACTGTTGCTGTGGGTTACTGTATGACTGCAACTCCTATAGAAGACAGGGAAGTATGCTGAGTTTCACTCATGCTGTACACACAGTATTTGTTTGCTTAGATCAGCACAATCTCTCTATAAGTGCCCACTTGACACAATACTTCAGTGAGTGTGATTGCTGTGACCTTATGAGACATCAAACCCCAAGCATTAGAAAGGAGTAGATGTTTATCACAATTTACAGTTTAAATAATTATCCTGGATTTGAAATGGCTTCAAATAAAATTCTTTTTTAGTAAGCACTACTGTGTATCAATGTTATGGACAGATTACAAGGCTGCTTAATAGTAAAATATTCTGGCAGCTAGTAGCAGCAAAGCTGAATTGGCTTTTATACTCACAGTGCCTCTAAGTGGAAACCAAGGGGCACAAGAAGAACACGCTGTGTATTCACCGACTGTTGGTTCTTCAATGACAGAATGTGGTCTGTGGGGAAAGCCTGTTGTTGTGCCAGCTGACCAGCAGGGGGGAGTATTGAGCTTCACCGAAACACAATTTATTGCTGATTCTCAGGGTAGAAGAGTGTCAGGGGAAGGAGGGTGATCCTGGCAGTTTTCTCTTCCTTTGTGTGTGTGTGTGTGTGTGTGTTTATCAGCCTGCCAGTTCATGCTGCATCAACTGATCACACACAAATATTTGTAATTCTACCCTCTTCGTGCATCTGTTTCTTGCCGTTTCACATTTGGGTGAGGTTAACCCCTAGATAATTTGTTTATGTAGCCACTAACATCATTTCATTCTATTTGATCATCAGAAGTAAAAACCATTGAATTTCCCATAAGTGTTGTTGTGCTACAGGTTGATGACATAAAGACACTGCGTCTAATTTGAGACCATGTTAAATTGAATCCCCACACCAGACGGGGCTAAAAGGTAAGGATTACACAAACGGTGTGATTACATTACTCTGTATGTGCAGTGTAACAAATTCAGCTTAGCTGTGGGACTAGATATAAAATATTCAGATGACAAGAAGAAACTTACTGTGACACATGCACACATTGTTCAGCGGTAGAAAGTAATGCACAGTGATACATGAAATCAAATCCCCGTCGAGCTTTATTTATCCACAGATGAGACTTAGTCATCTGATGGAACTTGCCAAAACAAATCAACATCAACCTATTGGCTCTTTCTTTTTTCTCTCCTTTTCATTCTTTCAGTTTCTTTTTCTCCATCTGGTTTTGCTTTTTTTTTTTTTTTACTCTGTTTTTTGGCATCACTTTGTCTAAAATAAAGTGATTGTCTTGGAACAATAGAGCAACACGGAGAAACATCCAAATAATATCTACTTCTATCACTATATTTTAGTCTCTTTTTTCCTTTAAGTGTGTGTTTGTGTGAGGTGCATGTCTTTGTGTTTGTGTGGGCAAATTTTAGCTCCGAGCCATTGTGGTGACGGCATTTAATTGTGGTGGCTAAGGTCAGTGGTTGTCCTCACAGCAATA